CCATGTATCGTGAGATTTTGTGTGAAAACCTCCTTCCATCAGCAGGGGCATTGAAGATGAAATGTGGCTGGGTCTTTCAGCATGACAATGATCCCAAACACACCGCCCGGGCAATGAAGGAGTGGCTTCGTAGGAAGCATTTCAAGGTCCTGGAGTGGCCTAGCCAGTCTCCAGATCTCAACCCCATAGAAAATCTTTGGAGGGAGTTGAAAATCCGTGTTGCCCAGCGACAGCCCCAAAACATTACTGCTCTAGAGGAGATCTGCATGGAGGAATGGGCCAAAATACCAGCAACAGTGTGTGAAAACCTTGTGAAGACTTACAGAAAACGTTTGACCTCTGTCATTGCCAACAAAGGGTATATAACAAAGTATTGAGATGAAATTTTGTTATTGACCAAATACTTATTTTCCACCATAATTTGCAAATAAATTCTTTAAAAATCCTACAATGTGATTTTCTGGATTTTTTTTTCTCATTTTGTCTCTCATAGTTGAGGTATACCTATGATGAAAATTACAGGCCTCTCTCATCTTTTTAAGTGGGAGAACTTGCACAATTGGTGGCTGACTAAATACTTTTTTTCCCCACTGTATATAATAAATGCTTTTGATCATATTCATACTTAAGTTTCGATTCCTTTCTTTTTTTTAATGCACTTTTTAAATGTGAAATTTTAATGTGACTTTTAAAGAAGTCATGTATGCCTGAAATATGACTCAGAAAAGTGATATTAATTCTGGGGAAAGTGCTAGCATGAGTTAAGTTGGATATTGTGTAATGTAATGACATTATTAAGGGTGATTCAAATGTCCAAGTCCTTTAGGACCAGAATTTTATGGTAAAAATCATTTGATGTGACAGCTAACAGTCTGCTTGCGTTCCCCCAGCTTGATGTTCTGGACTAACTGGAACGAGCAGAAGCCGAGCATCATGAGGTCAACTTTAACCGGCCAGAACGTCCTCATCATTGTTAGCATGGATGTCATCACCCCTAATGGACTCACCATCGACCACAAAGCTGAAAAGCTGTATTTTTCTGACGGCAGTCTCGGCCACATCGAGAGGTGTGATTACGATGGCTCGCACAGATACGTGAGTATGGAGCCGCTTTGTGTGTGACTTTTAAAAAATGCATGGAAGTGCATTAGCTGAAGCGAAGGCTGTGTCTTAAGAGCACTGCAAACGGCTTTCAGCCTTTTGTGAAGCTTTTCTGTTTTGCTGAGGTGAAACATTGAAGGAGGACATAAAGAAATTTCGATCCCATCCACTGAATACAGGTCGCTTGGGTTCAGTACATTGTTTGGATAAAAGCGTCTGCTAAATGCATTAATTTAATTTAATTTAATTTGTATATATATATATATTAATAATGCACTAAAAATAATTGTAACATTTCAGTTTAACATGTTAAATTAATATAATTAATTATAAAAATAACATAAAAAGTAACAAATTCATACATGTCTTAAAAATCACAAGTTTCTGTCATATGTAATAGGTAGGGCTATCAGTTTGATAAGTTAATTTAATAAAATGTATAATAAAATGTAATATTAATTTAATAAAATTGATTGTAAAGCTGATCATATACTTGGAAAAAAATCATGTTTCTGTCATATAGTAAGTAGGGCTGTCAGTTTAACATGTTAATTTAATCAAATTAATTATAAAAAATAATGCACAAAAATAACAACTGATCATACATGTATGAAAATTCCTGTTTCTGTCATATATGGTAAGTATAGGGCTGTCAGTTTAGTGTTAATGAAACTAATTTGAAAAATAATGCACAAAAAAGTAACACAACTGATGTGTATAATAATTTCTGTTTCTGTCATATATAATAAGTTGGGCTGTCAGTTTAACATGTTAATTTGATAAAAATTAATTTGAAAAAATGCACAAATAAACCCTATTGAGCATACTTATGGAGTTCCACTATTAAGTAGGGCTGTCAGTTTAAAAGTTTAATTTAGTGAAACAAACTATATTTATAACTCTACTCGAGGAACTATTCTGTTTTAATTAATTGACAGACCTAAAAACAGGTTGTTATTAACTGCTAAAGTAACCCGATTTTAATGTTTGCTTTCACAAAGAGCCAGGAACAGCAGATTAGAGGATTTGACACAGTTTATCGTTTGACAACCGCCAACAATGCTGCGGCGCACTAAATGGGTTCTTGCTGGCTAATGAAACTATCTGCTCGCTAGGCTATTAGAAGGTGAAAATTGATCTGGGCGAACAAAAGGAACATTTGTTTTGTTGCGTGTCAGACAGATAGCAAGGCTAGCGAGGCAGGATACTGTCAGAGCATGCTGGAGGAGGCAGTGCCATTTAGGTTACTTCTGACACATTCAAACTCCAGCCTTTTCAAACTTCCCCTAGAGGAAAACACACTGAGCCACACATTCAAACTCCCAGGAGTTCAGAATTAATCGTGCAAATTAGATGAAACTTTCTTTATAACGTCAAATATGCCCCTGTTTACTTTCATAAAGGTAAAGTTTGTGATTTCTGAGCTACCTGGATCACCCAATAGAATTATTTATTTATTTTTATTTTTTTTACAGTAAAAATTGTTTATACTAAATGTTATACTAAGGTTATCACATTCAAGTGAGGCTTTTCTCTTTACAGCTGGCTTTGAAAAACATTTACTTCAACTGTTTTCAGTTTTTAATCATTTTACAACATTTTCTTGAACGGAAAATGGCAGATTAAAATGTTTCACAATGTCGCAAATCATTCCAGTGCCCAAAAATAACTTCCAGTCAATTCTGACCACTTTATGAACACATTTGACTGAAAATCATGTTTTTTCCGTAAATCTCCAGACCAGTTCTATTGTTCTGTGAGTAAAAAGGGGCGGAGCTTAGCAAGTGGTCTTTAAATAAGAATAAATAAATAAATACATAAGTAGTTTTAAATAAAATAGAACCTGTTTTAGTTGAGATTATGTTTGAGTAACCGTCCATCACATTATTGGAGAGCAAAGTCTGAGATAATCCCTGTTTAGAAGCTACTTGAAACGTAAGCCTGCACTTGGAGCAGGAATGTCATGTTCTAGTCCACAGGTTCGTAATTCAATGCTAAAAGCTTTCGATCTTAAGACAGCACAAAGATGTTTTCACCTGTCGAGGTGACAGCTCTGATATGCAGATGTGTCTGCTGCATCTTTCATCCTGATCCCCCACACACGTGCGGCAGCAATGGAGCACTTGGGAATAAAGACGTCTCGACTGCGCGAGGGTGAGAACACGTGTTTGACATGTTGTCATTGCAGATTAAAGCGTGAGTCTCTCTCTCCACGCACCCATCGAGCCGCCTATTATTACAGAAAGACTCGCATTCAAACGGACGGCCCTTCAGAGACATCTGTGTCTGCGTGTGTTACTGAAGAGCGGTTAGTGCTGCACTTCAGAGCAGATGTGTGTGGCTCACGAAAGCCTTCAGAAAGAAATGGCAAAACACATGAAAAGCGTGTTTGTGAAAAGCGAAAAATGTGTGCAGCCTTTTTGGGGGGGGGGATTACATGTAGTTATCATAGAAACTGTAATGAAGAATTTGCAGTGGATTTTTTTTGTGGACATTGTGTCTTATTGTAACGGCACAAAAATATTGGTATCTTTATTTTTTGAATTTGTTTGTTTGTTTGCCTTTTCTTTTGTTTGTCAAATTTTATTTTTCAATTATTTATTTATCCATCCATCTATCTTGACTTGACTTTCTACTTCCTGTGGGGGCAGGGTGATGTGTTTGTGTCCTGAGTTTTTTTTCCCCCCTCTAAAATTAATATTGTGTGTTTTATACAACAAAAATGTAATTATTTGTGTCCCCAAAAATGGGCAAAAAAATCTCATTGATTTTTAAGTTTTTATGTTAGTCAACTTCAAACAAATTGAAAACACCTTGAAGTTATTTTAATTTGTAATTGATTTTACGTAAAGCAAAAAAATAAAATATATTTTTATTTAAATTCATTTATGGTTTTATTTCTCAGTGTCTGCATTTTTTATATCAATTTGAAAAATCTACGTTTTTTTTTTTTCTTTTACACTGATTTTTTGAGTGTAGATTTTGGAACCTGTCTTGTTCCCATCTCTGCGTTTCTGAGTGACTGTAATCAGTTCATTTCTGATTCTTTCATTTCCTTCAGGCATAGCTTACCTTCCTCCCCGAGGTCATACGTGATGTACTGTATCCCTGTGTCTGTTACAACAGTGATTGCATTTACACTCTTTAGATCTAGGTTAATCATTTATAATGAGGGCGATAATGGAGGAGGGTTGGCCTTCGGGTGTGACGGTGGTTCTATGTGTGACGTGTGTCTATGTGAATTATACAGGCACTCAGTGTGCTTTATTTTGGTCTGTGTGCCTTTGTGGTTAAGTGCATAAAGTAAACTGCCTGATGGAACTGTCCTGTACGACAGGAGAGACGCTTTATTTACTACCACTGCTTGAAAGTTACTGAATGATTTGTACAATTACAAGATTTATAAATAGACTATCTATCCATCTGTCCGTCCGTCTGTCTATCCGTCCATCCATCCATTCTGTTGTTCTACCTGTCCGTCCGTCCGTCCGTCCATCCATCCATCCATCCTTCATTCTGTCATTCTATATATCTTTCTACCTGACTGTCTGTCCATCCATTCATCGTTCAATCATTCTGTCATTCTTTCTATCATTCTACCTGACTGTCTGTCCATCCATTCATCGTTCAATCATTCTGTCATTCTTTCTATCATTCTACCTGACTGTCTGTCCATCCATTCATCGTTCAATCATTCTGTCATTCTTTCTATCATTCTACCTGACTGTCTTGTCCATCCATTCATCGTTCAATCATTCTGTCATATTTTCTATCATTCTACCTGACTGTCTATCTATCCACCCATCCATCAATCCATCCATCCTTCGTTTCATCTGTCTTGCTATCTATCTGGCATTTAAGCCTCAGTCCAAAAAGTTCACAAACTTTTTAAGGTCAGTAGAAATATAAATTCACCAAAACTTTTGACTGTTATTCTATAACCTGAAATATTTAATAGGGCTCTTGTAAAAAATAATAGTTTTTTATTACCAGGATATTTCCTCTCCTAAATTCTTCTTCCTAAATTTGAAGGTCATTGTGAAATCAGGACCCGGAACGTTCTTTGGCTTGACAATTTACAAAGACTTCATCTTCTGGTCCGACTGGACGCGGCGGGCCGTGATCCGCTCTGATAAGTTCACCGGAGCCAATACGAAAGTCCTCCGTGCGGACATCCCTCATGAACCGATGGGAATCGTTGCTGTTTCCAACGACACCAACAGCTGTACGTAATTCATTTCCATTGTTCCATCACATGACGCAACCGTTTTAATGCTAAATTCAAACCAAATTTTGCATTTAGTTTGGTTTCTGGCGTGTCTGTCCTTCAGAAAAGCTGAAATGAAAACACGCAGCCAGTTTGTTATGGGATGTCTGATATTTACGACTACACATTTTGGGCATCCAAGACCAAGTCCTATCTAAAAGAATGGGGGAATTCAATTCCCATTCAAAATACTGAGACCCAGTCCAACCTGGCCACTGCTGGAAGTACATTTACATAAATTCGGTTTAGTGCACATGGTGACTTTTCCGTTTATATTCCCCAACCACGAAACTTACACCTGCAGTTCTTGGTAATTGCATCTGTTGAAACTCACAAAGAGCATTTCAAGTGCCTGAGGTGCAAATCTTTTAAAGCGAAGAACCCAAACTTGATTCACCCAGGAAGTAAAATGGCTCCATGAAATTTACAGAATTAGCAGAATTTATAGAAAGTGACACATTTATAGAATGCCGGCTTTCCACTCTGCTTCTTTCTTGGCTTTGGTACAGACGTTTCTTTGTTTGTGGTTCAAGCCTCAGTGTTTCAAAGGACTCTAATGAAAGCAGCTTAGATGCTTGGCATCCCAAACCGCAAATGGAGATTTTCTCATCTCAGGACTGTCTTAGGAGATTTGGACCTCAGTAGCCACCGTCCCTCGTATCTATATAGTGCAGATGACTCTATTAAGAGAATTCGCTCAGACAGTGCTATAAAATGGTGAAATTCTAAGTAATTCCCCACATTGCTTTTTAAATCATAACAAAAAAGACTAACTTTATGTACCTTTATGCTGTTTCAAACCACACAACTCTTCTTTTGCCTTCTGAATATAATGACCTAATTATTATTTTAGGTTAACTGCCCCTTTAAAAGTGGATGCCATCTGCAATTCTTTATATTAAAACTAATAAACATTGCTTTTTAATCGCCAGGCAACAGAAATCAGCAATTGAAGAGTCCAAGCTATTTAAAGGCCTATCCCATAATAAGCAAAAGCCTCCCAGGACTGAAGCCCCATGTTTCTACGGTGAAAGACGCTGGCCCAATGCACTCATCTGAATCCTCACCATTTGTGCAGGGGAATACACTCAGCCCACGGCTCCAGAGTCTGGCAGCCGCTTGTGTGTAGATAGGGCACAGTTCAGAGACCCATGCTCCATGCCAACGTCTGTGCCAAGCACAGTTCAAACTCACACCCGCTGAGGAGTCCAACCCTCTGACTGGCACTGCAAGAGTGCCCTTCAAGCCTTGTGTGTGTGTACGGTGCTAGGCTGAATGTATTGTGTTAAAAGACATCAGATGCCTTAGGCCACATTGTGAAAGCCTTTCAGAATGCTCTATTTCCAAAGTATTTCACACATCATTCATTAATGCTGTTCTTTATTCCAGCAAACAAACATGTTGTGTGCCCATTTACTAAATAATAAAAGGAGCCTTATATACACTACCGCTCAAAAGTTTGGGATCAGTAAGACTTGTAATGTTTTTTAAAGAAGTCTCTTATGCTCATCAAGGCTGCATTTATTTGATCAAAAATACAGAAACATAAACGGTAATCTTGCAAAATGTTATTAAAATATAAAATAATGGTTTCTATTTTAATATACTTGAAAATATAATTTATTTCTGTGATGAAAAGCTGAATTTCTATCAGCCATTACTCCAGTCTTCAGTGTCACATGCTCCTTCAGAAATCATTCTAATATGCTGATTTATTATCAGTGGTGGAAACTGTTGTGCTGCTTAATATTTTTTTTGGAGCCTGTGAATTTTTATTAGGATTCTTTGATGAATAAAAAGTTAAAAAGGAGAGCATTTATTTAAAATATAAATTTTTTCTAACAATATACACAAACGTTCAAAAGTTTGGGGTCAGTCAATTTTTATTCTTTCTTTTTTTGAAATAAATTAAAACTTGTATTCAGCAAGGATGTTAAATTGATAAGAAGTGATTGGCAACTTTGATAATTCTAATAATAAATCAGCATATTAGAATGATTTCTGAAGGATCATGTGACACTGAAGACTGGAGTAATGGCTGATGGAAATTCAGCTTTGCATCACAGAAATAAATGCTATTTTAAAGTATATTAAAATAGAAACCATTATTTTATATTGTAATACAACTTTGCAAGAATACAGTTTTCTGTATTTTTGATCAAATAAATGCAGTCTTGATGAGCATAAGAGACTTAGAGACTTACTGATTCCAAACTTTTGAGCGGTAGTATAAATATATATATACAGACACACACATATATATATATATATATATATATATACAGACACACACACATATATATATATATATATATATATACATATGAATTAATACGCTAGAAAGATACTGTTTCTGAATTGCTTGGATCTGATTCTAATTGTAATTCAGACTCCTGTTGCTCTGAATATAGGTTCTAAATCTAGTTTATGATTCTGGTTCTGTTTGCTCTGAATATTTATTTCTGGAACCAGATTATGATTTTTATTGTACATCCAAATTGAAATCCAAATCCATTTTGTTGTGAATATAGAACTAAGATTATAATTCAGATTCAAACTGATCAGAATTTAGATTCTGGATCCATATTATACTGTATATATAGATTGTAATCCAGATTTCCCTTGCTCTAAATATAGATTCTAATTGAAGATTGTGGTCTAGATTCAGTCTAGATTATGATCCATATTCTAAATCCAGATTATGATTCAGAATATGGTTGCTCTGAGTACATAATTCTGTTACATCCATATTACAATCGAAATTCATTTTGACATTATTTTAATCAATATTCATTTTGATTTCGTTTATTTATTATTTATTCACTTTAAAAAATTTTTTTTTACACATTTTGTATACATTTCAGTGTGTATAAAATGTTAAATTCCTAACCCTAAGTATGAGCTGTAAAGCTGGACAGTTGTAAATGTCACGGTTTGATTCAATGCTTGATAGATCTGTTACCAAGGATTTCTCTTAATCCTTTTAGGTGAGTCATCCCCCTGCAGCGTGAATAATGGAGGGTGCCATGATCTCTGTCTGTTGACTCCTCTTGGTGTGGTAAACTGTACTTGCCGTGGAGAACGGATGTTACTGGATGATAACAGATGTGTATGTAAGTCCTGTACCCTCTCTCTCTGTATCTCTTGCTCATTTTCTTGGACTTTTTTTTCACTCACCCCAAATTTTTTAGTATGTTTTTTATATTTGAGTTATGTCCATGTCTGTTAGTATTGAGGCTGTCTATATGCTGGAGTATTCCAAATAATAGCCGATATTTCAGTTTGGGATGCTGGTGATAAAGAAAGTTTTTGAGAATATGTTTGGTAGCTGATTGGCTCTGGATTGAAATTCAGAGCGAATGTTCAGGTCTGCAGTGCCCCATGTCTGTAGGCGGATAGGTGAGACACAGGGAGCATGTGGGACAGAACGGTTGCTTTTAGCATAGTGAGAGGAACATGCTGCTGCTCTAGAAACAAACAGCAGCAAAATCTAGCTGTGAGGCTATGGCCCAACAACCTTATTACTGCAGAATCCTTCCTGTTGCTCTGAATATTAATTTAAAATCCAAATTTTGACTGTGATTCCTGTTGCTTTGAATGTAGATTTCAAATCCAGTTTATGATTCAGATTCATTTTACTCATAATTTAGGGTTTAGACTCAGATTTAGATTCAATTATGAAGACCAATTGTGCATACATTTTGTAATTCAGAAGCTGAGTGATCCATATTCTGAATCTGAATCCAGATCATTCACATTCCATTTGCTGTTAATATATAATTCTGGAACCAGATTCTGATCTATATTGTGCATCCATATTGCAGCTTAAATTCATTCTGCTTTGAATATAGATTCTAAATCTAGATTGTGATTCAGGTTCACTTCACTCAGAATTTAGATTCTTGGTCCAGATTATAAAAAAAATAAATAATAACAATAAAAAAACAACAATTGTACATACAGATTGTAATCCAGATTTCCTTTGCTCTGAAAATAGATTCTGAATATGAAGACGGTGGTCTAGATTCAGATTATGATCCATATTCTAAATATAGATTATGATTTAGATTCCATTTGCTTTTTGGAACCAGATTGCAATCCATATTGTACATCCAGATTGTGATCCATGCTCTAAATATAAATTCTAAATACAGATTGTCATTCAGATTTAGGTTGTGGATCTGTATTCTAAAATATAATTGCACATCCAAAATGCAATCCAGATTTCCTTTGCTTCGAATATATGGACTCAATACCAAGATTGTGATCTGGTTTTAGATACAATTACCCTCACTCAAAATAAAAACCAAAACCACACAAGCAAGCAAAACAAATAAACCCTCCCAGCAGATTATAGCCCTTGCTGGTTATAAGGGAATTGGCGATCAAATATAACAATAAAAAAACACCGGTTGATTTTAACACACACACACACACACACACACACAC